TTCTCTGGACCTTCTTAAATTTCTTCACATCTTTCTTGAAATGAGGTGCCCAGAACTGGACACAATACTCCCACTGAGGCCTAATCAGTGCAGAGTAGAGCGGAAGAATGACTTCTCGTGTCTTGCTCACAACACACCTGGTAATGCATCCTAGAATCATGTTTGCTTTTTTTGCAACAGCATCACAATGCTGACTCATATTTAGCTTGTGGGCCACTATAACCCCTAAATCTCTTTATGCCATACTCCTTCCTAGACAGTCGCTTCCCATTCTGTATGTGTGAAACTGATTGTTCCTTCCTAAGTGGAGCACTTTGCATTTGTCCTTATTAAACTTCATCCTGTTTACCTCAGGCCATTTCTCCAATTTTCCAGATCATTTTGAATTATGACCCTGTCCTCCAAAGCAGTTGCAACCCCTCCCAGCTTGGTATCATCTGAAAACTTAAGAAGCGTACTCTCTATGCCGATATTTAAATTATTGATGAAAATATTGAACAGAACTGGTTCCAAAACAGAACCCTGTGGAACCCCACTTGTTATACCTTTCCAGCAGTATTGTGAACCATTGATAAATACTCTCGGAGAACGGTTATCCAGCCAGTTAGGCACCCACCTTATAGTAGCCTCATCTAAGTTGTATTTGCCTAGTTTATTGATAAGAATATCATACGAGACCGTATCAAACGCCTTACTAAACTCTAGGTATACCACGTCCACCACTTTTCCCTTATCCATAAGACTTGTTATCCTATCAAATAAAGCTTTCAGACTGGTTTGACATGATTTGTTCTTTACAAATCCATACTGGCTATTCCCTATCACCTTATCAGACCAAATGAATTGGGTGCAAACCTTAGCTTATTCAGAATGATTACGGTTTGGAGGTAACAAAAGCATGCATCACGGTTGCTAGGTCTATAGCTGCTCCTTCATGCCTTTGCATTCTCCTAACACTGGCTGAACGTTCAGCAAGTAAAGACCAAAAATGGTATCATATTGCTGCATGTTCCCATTTGCCTGAAAATCACAAAGGATGCTAAAAGTCCTTGAATACATGATGTAATTATGAAAATATTTCCCAAAATATTTCTGAAAAATATATGACATTGTTCTTTTAAACTCAAAGAAAGCTGCCTTTACTTTTGAGCAATACAGGCATCAAGATTTCTTATAGCACAGTGCCTGTCCCTGGGTGCTGAAGGAGACAAAAATATCATCGGTGGACCTTGAGGATTTAGTACATTCAAAAGGCATTACAATTACGTTTTTTAAAATACGTTTAACAATCCCCAAAGTGTCATCCTACATATTAGATGCTAGCACATGTAAAAAATAAGTATCCCTTTCTACAGCTAATGTACATGATTTAAACATACAGTAATTCTAGCTGAACAAGGTTAAGCATGATTTCTCCTGTCTTAGGCTTCCGTCCTAAGAGAAGCTCTGTACAGGCAGACCCTTTACCTCAGGCCATTTCTCCAATTTTCCAGATCATTTTGAATTATGACCCTGTCCTCCAAAGCAGTTGCAACCCCTCACTCCTCCCCATCAGTGAGGAAAGCTCCAGACTCTTGAACAGATTCTTTGTGATAGAATGTTTGCCCCACACAGGATTAGAAGGGGTCACAGAGGCCACAGTCGAATTGTATATGTGTTCTAAGGAGTCTCAGGGTCCACTCACCACAGTGGCCCCCTCCGCTGGCCCCCTGGGGTTAGCTCTACCAGTTGGAGCACCCTCTTCAGGTGGTGCCTCTCTGATCATTCTCTCATCCTGAGGACCCACCTCACTCCAAGAGCTGCAGTATCCTCTTTGTGATTTGGCCCTCCAGCTGGGTCACTCATGATCTGTATTTCCCCCTTTCAGGGTCCTTCTGTGGAAACACTCCAAAGCAGTCTTTTTCTGTGCTGCCCTGACGATGCCACTCCCTCCACCCCAGCAGGCCAGTTGGGAACCCAAGCCCACCTTTTACTCTGGGTGCCAGTCCAGGCAGCCTCCGCTCAGCAGTTCTGGGTTCTATATTCTCAGCTTTCAATGCTTATTCCCAGGATTGCTTTCTTCACTTCCAAGTTCCTCTAGGAGTGTTTGCTAGCTGTTTTCATGTAGCCTTTCCCAGCAATCCCCCTTGTCTGTTCTCAGCTATTGGGCTTTATAGGCCTCAAATGTTCTTGTCCAGCGGAGTCTCCTTTAATCAACTGTTCCCTGGCTATTCATGCAACCTGAGCAGTTAATTGGCTTACCTGTCCATTTAACCCCTTCTAATCCCGTGTGGGGCAAACATTCTATCACAAAGGATCTGTTCAAGAGTCTGGGGCTTTCCTCACTGATGGGGAGGAGTGAGGTTCTTTTTAACTAAGGTGGTGGATCTGCTACTCATGGGCTGCATGAAGCAAGATGAACACATGTAGCATCTACATCTGAATGCTATTTTTATGATCATCTCAATATCCATTCTGTCCATAGCAAGTCATATACCTTTAACCTAGCAATATGCTGAGGGGCTTTTGTAAGGGAAAGCTTGGATTCATGACATAACTCACAAAGGTAGATAAAAGCAAAATATTAAAGGCAAACTATTAATAAAAGAAAGGTATGAACAGTCTGTTTCTAACTGAAAATCGATTTTCTACAAAACATTTGCTCCTTTGCACTTCAATGTTAACCTCATTTCATTAATTTAAAACTATTATTGCACATCAACTAAGAATAAATTGTTAAAAGACTTTGCATCTACCGGCCCAACAGTTTTGGAAGTATTATGCACATTGGCAGTGCGTGAAACTTCGGTTTAGGGAGGCAGGCCAGACTGTGGTCAATCCCATATTCCATCCCTGTTTTGCCAAGGCCCTGTCCCCATTCTATACATGTTCCACTCTCTCCCCACTATCTTCCTCTTTTCTCTTTCTTCTTCCCTGCACCCTTTCTAGCCAAATGCCAGAACCCAAATGTAACCAATGACATTGGGGGGGAGAGGGGGGAGGAAAATGGAACACTCTCCTAAAATGTATTTATTTATTTAAAATATTAAATATTTAAATAAAATATTTTTACCCCAGTACTCTCTATTTCAAATACTTGAGGCAGCTTACAAAATTTTTTAAAAGACAATAAATAGAAATACAATTTCTTTCTAAACAAAATGGAGCATGTTTTCTACTGCATGCTAGATTGTGAAGAGTGAGCATGCAGAAGACACCTAATTAAAAGCTCTAAATTTCAGAATAAAAAAAAAGCTCAGTTACCTTTTTTTGATGTACTCTGGAGTTTGTCAGATTTATTTGCCAAGTCTTTGTATTAAGGGCAAGTCAGCTATACTGCTGAATACAACATTAAATATTATGGAATTTATGATGCAGCTCTTTTCTGTTTTACATTTTCTTAATCAGTATTTCTAAGCTGATTTTATATTTCAAAAGTACTCTTAAGCCGTCATAAAGTAATCATTCTACCTTACTACACATTTAATACACTGAAACAAAGACACTTTAAATCAGTCAGTCGGAGCCATTGAATGTGTTCATAACGAAGTTCATTCATTTTTGAAAAAGAGAGCACTAATTTATTGTGTATGATCTCCATAATAATAGACATGTTTATACTAAAAATATATTCCCAAAGATTTTAGGCATAACAAAGGGTTTTATATCTTACTAAGTTACTGATTTTGGTGGAGGGTAAAAGTGAAGAAAGGGAAACTCATTTGTCTAGCTATCTGGAAGAGAAGGGATGTTGGCCCTTTATGGTAGGGGTCCCAAGCCTGGCAGGCTGGAGTCAGGCAAGATGGGGCTTGACTCACGGGTTCTGCCTGGCGGCAGGCTGGAGTCAGGCAAGATGGGGCTGGATCTGACTCACGGGTTCTGCCTGGCATGAGGAGGATGTAGCTTTGCATGCTGCCTCTCCCTTCCCCAGCTGGGGAAATAGCAATGCATCAAAGGGCTGCCTGGAGGTTTTTCCCCACCATTCCATTTGCCATAAGCATGGCCAATAGGAGCAGCAGGGGGCAGTGTGCGGAAGTGGCAGGTAGGCTTGCCAGATGCTTTCAGCAAAAATCCCGAACACGGCAGGAAAAAAACTTGGTCGAGGCAAAAAAAAGAGAGACCAAAGTTGTTGAGCAAAAAACAAAAACAAAAACCCGAGAGAATCCCTCACTTTCTCCCACCCATGCCAGATGTGGCAGGGGAACAATGTCCCCATTGGCCTTCTGCTGAAGAAAAACAGAAAATACCGGACATTTTATGTGTCTGGTACCGGTATTTTCTGGGTTTTTTTACTGGACAGGGGCCAGAAATAATGGACTGTCTGGGCAAAAATTGGACACCTAGCAACCCTAGTGGCAGGGGACATGGAGCTATGTACATGCCCACCCTAGCCTGCTCCTGCACCCTACCTTCCTCCCAGTCTCCCCAACCCCCAGTCTGCTTTTGCATTCCCCTCCCACCAAGACCCCCAGACTGCTCCTGCACCCTACTCCCTGCCCAGACTCCCACCCCAGCCTACCCCTGCAGCCTTACCACCCACTCAGCCCCCCCAGTTGGACACAATACTTCAGATGTGGCCTCACCAGTGCTGAATAAAGGGGAATAATCACTTCTCTAGATCTGCTGGCAATGCTCCTCCTAATGCACCCTAATATGCCATTAGCCCTCTTGTCTACAAGGGCACACTGCTGACTCCTATCCTGCTGACTACCCAATTCCATGCATGTCACCCAATTTATTTTTGGTGAAATATTAGTTTTGTTCCCAGAAAAGCTCTCCCAATGAAATGGAGTCAAAATATGTGTTCCTGTTCCACCCACCCCAAAGTACTGGCCAACATTCAAAATCTGTATGTGGCTAAAAACAAGTTTAAAATAAATAAATTCTAAAAACATTTTAAAAGAATTGAGGTGCTGTAGCTTTAAGAGATCCACCTTAATCAACTCCCCCCCCCCCCCTTCTTTGGCCTGAGTGGACTACGTCACTGGGGATGCAGGCATCAGATAAATATGCAGCTGGAGCAACAGGACAGCCAGAAGAGTACAAGAGGATATCTGCAAAGCTACTCCCAGGTAGAAGTGATCAGCATGACTCTAGCTAAGCATTGCCAACTGCCTAGTTACACTAACTCTTTTCCCTTACTACTTTGTACTTATTGCATGTTGCTTCTATCTCTTGCTGATAGTTTTCTTCCTTTTCCTCTCAGAATGGAGCACGCTTGATTTATTTACTGAGGTTACCGTCATAATGTTTGCATTTCATGCTTGTGCCTGTTGTATTAATCAATCTGATGTGCTAGCTGGGATTTACTTCAGACCATTTGTTCACTAATCACATAGGATCAGCTGTTGGTTTTTTTTTTCTGAAGTACACAGGTCACCCAGGATTCAGCACCTGCTGTTTGCAGCCAGCATATCCCTATTTTCTTTCTGTCCCCCCAAAAATCAAAAGCTACTCTTAATTTTCATTTTATTTTTCTAATTAGTTGAATACTAACGGGGATGTTTGTGGCACACTTGGAATAATCCATTTGTATTTAGCAAACTATCTTCAAATAGCTTCTGAACTAGTCTTGGTATATTATTAAGCCTATATTCTGTAGCTAACTGGCAAAATATATCTACTAGTTGTTAATGACCCATCTTCAGATTTTGTTCAGGAATTACACACTATTTTTAATTAACAAAAATTGGCAAGGTTGTTTTTTTGTCCCCTTTATTGGGGTTGTTAATCTTAGTTTAAAAGTCAATGTGTATCTGACAAAGTGGGTCTTTGCCCACAAAAGCTTATGCTCCAATAAATCTGTTAGTCTATAAGGTGCCACAGGATTTCTCGTTGAATGTGCTTCAAAGCATCTTCAACAACAGCATAACTTCTGTATATTCATCAGTGAAGATCTGCACCATCTAAATGGTGCAGGTAAGCTTTAGATTGCACAATATTCATAAGGGAAGTGATATAGCTATTGGTATGTCAATTAAAGCTGGCTGTACATACAAATAACCCATGCTCCAAACTAATCGTACTATTTCAAACCTTTTTTTCTAATGCAAAGGATGCAAGAAAATATATAGTTTCTCCATGATAGTATCTGCTCTTTTCATGTTTGCTTGAGGCATTTGGTCTAACAAAGCTTGTAGTTCCAATTAATAAAGGATTTATACTGGGATTGAGTAGAAATGCATTACAATGTCATAACACTAACAAGGCTGAATTTAACAATCTCAAACTGCTGACAACTGTGGCTGGACTTTAGCATGGGGAAAGCTTTACAATTTCCAACTGCTTTCCTTCTGGAAAAAAAAACTTCTCAAATAGCTAACATCTCTAGTTCCATCTACAAAGTTATCAGGTAATTGAATTGTCATGTAACCACATGAAATCTTAGCAGTTACATGACTATTTAATAGTCCCTGGGCCAGCAGCCAGTGCGCTCCTGGCCCCACTCCTGGGGAGTGCCCTGTCACCCATGAGGGGAGCCAGTTTGAAAACCTGCTGCCTGCACAGACTGGTTGCTCACTGCCCCACACTGCTGCCTCTGCGAGATGCAGAGCAGCCTTTGTCCGAGGGGAATTCAGACACTCTGTGGAGAGGGACTGCTGCTGGGAAGCAGCCTCTGCCCAAGGCAGGCCCAGGCAGGATGCAGAGCAGCTTCTGTCCCATAGGCTGTGGAGCAACCTCTGTCTGGAGGAACTGGGGGGGGGGTGTGTGTGCAGATGACACATTGGGCCCGGGAAGCTGAACAAAGGGATAGGTGGGGCTGCCTGCAGGCTGAGTTAGGTTTTGGAATGTGGGGGTTCTTGGGGAGCTTGGAGCTGGATGGGGGCACAAGGCCCCTTCTCTCCAACATAGATTGTACTGTCTGCTCCTGTTCCTGTGTTAACAACAAGACTATGCTACACTGTGAATCAATAAACCTTCCATTCTACCTGCTAGCTGAGAGTCAGATCTGGCTGCAGATGGGGATGCAGGGCCTGGGTCCCCACACCTCGGTGAAAGGGGGTGCTCAGGCCTGCCACAGACAGGGGCTGCTTCACCGTAGCCTCCCCTCTCTCCTTCCCTCTATTGCTAACACTGATAAAGGAAACAGTGCAGCAAGGGAGGAGGCAGCACCATGGAGGCAGTCCTGGGGGGAACCAACTTTTTAAGATGGCTCCCCCCATCACTGGCTCCTACTCTCTGATAAAGAGGCTGGAAGGGGAGGGGGTAGGAATGTGTGTAGTCAGCTTATCTGTTAATCTTGTCTAGGTTTATCAGTTAATTGTATAGTAGACTATACATTGGCATCCATAGTTGGAAAAGCAGAGAAAAACATAAGAGGAAAATTCCAGTTCTGCCCTGAGATTGGGCATGGTATACTGTTGTACTTAAAAGTACAGCAGAAGATCTTTTTAGGAGGAAAAGGCAAAATGCCAAACTTATTGGTAACACATATCAATAAATTCTTATCATATGCATATGATATATCGCACTTGTACACACACACAAACACACTGGCTACGTCTAGACTGGCCACAAATTCCGGAAAAGGGATTCAAATCAGGTAAGTCAGCATAGGGAAATCCGCGGGGGATTTAAATATCCCCCGCGGATTTAAATAAACATGTCTGCCGCTTTTTTTCCGGTTTGGGGAAAAGCCAGAAAAAAAGCGTCTAGACTGGTGCGATCCTCCGGAATAAAGCCCTTTTCCGGAGGATCTCTTATTCCTACTTGAAAGTAGGAATAAGAGATCCTCCGGAAAAGGGCTTTATTCCAGAGGATCGCGCTGTTCACTTCCAAGGTCATCCATATGTCTTTCAATGAGCCCACTTCAGTTCTTCTCGGATCTGGCTTCCATCTGTGTTCCAACCATTGCAGGTGCTGGGAGATGCTTGCCTTTCACACCTTATCCATTCACACCTCATTCATTCAACAGGGCAATCAATTCAGCAAAAGCGGGGTACAAAGAACTAGTCTGCAAGATACAAAGTTTCTATGTAGAAAGACTTAATACAAAATGTCTATGTTCTATATGAAAATATACAACGTTTCTATATAAAAGGACTTACTACAAAGCTAAAGACATATTACAAGCTAAAAGGACTCGATATGAAGTTAAAAACTTCAGTGAGAAAATGATTAATACAGAGATTAATATGATGTATCTACAAATACCCTAGCCATAGGAGGTTGCTGTATGTACAAGTGGGTTACTATGCACTTTTATATAAAATAGCCTTAGACAAACATTTTTCTTTATTTGTACACATTGTACTCCCTGCATGCCTAAAAAAAGAAGCCTTGTGGCGTTGTGATGGGGTGCAATCACAGAAGACCCTTTTGGGGTGCTTCTCAGAGTGCTGACAAAGCCACTGACATGCACCTTCTTGCTCTCTGGGGCTTCTCACCACCCTGTCCTGTTGGGCCAGTTCATTTGGTCTGCTTCCAGCCAATGCACAGAGCTGAGATCACTGCTGCCCGCCCCTCAAAGAGCAGTATAGACACTGAAACTCTTCAGGTGTGAGGAAAATGCAGTTTAGGGCCCAGCTTCCTGGGATACTACTCCCCAAATGGATTATTTAGGTAAGGCCCCTGTAACAATGAAATAAGGATGTACACACTGATTGCTCCCCCAGGTAACAATTAGTTACACTGGGTTTGATAGAAAATAAAAGTGATTTTAATAAGAACAAGCAGTAGGATTTAAGTAGTTGTGAGAACAGGCAAAGCAAAATACATTACAAACTTAAAATAACAAAAAACACATAGCTAAATCTGAAACTAAAACTTCAGTACAAATTTATTACAAACTCACCCTCAATTTAAAATAACAAAAAACACATAGCTAAATCGGAAACTAAAACTTCAGTACAATTTTATTACAAACTCACCCTCAACTGTTCTTGTTCCAGCTAAGCCTTCAAAAGCAGGGAAATTTCATTCCTTTGGGTCTATGGTTCACTTTCTTGGGTGCGGCATGCCAGCCAAAGTCTAAGACACTGCCAGCTTCCCATTGTTTTACAGATTCCATCTTTGGGCTGGAATTGTTTCTACATTCCACTCTTACATGGAAAAATCACAGCTCATCAGACCCTACCAGTTGGTGGGGGGGAGTTGTCACATGACTTCTAGGACCAACCACTGCTAAGACTTAAAGGACAAAATGGGTTGTTTACAGATCACCATACCTACAGGGAAACACCCTTGATGGCTTACCTTTGAACTGTTAAAGCCATAAACCATTCCATACTTCATATATCTAACTTTACACACAAGAATGGTACATATACCAAAATACAAATACAGCAGCTTATGACATTAAGATTTATAGGTTACATGAGGTAATTTGTCCTAAGCAAGGGTGCCATTTTGGGAGTGCAGCAGCTGTGCGCTCCAGGATGCGGCTAGTTTATCATCCTGTTCCTCAGATGCTAAAGAAGCGAGGGGAAAGTGATTGCATTCTGTGAATGCCTCTCACACCTGGCTGGTGAGCTCTCCTCACTCCCTCTCTACCTTCCTGAAATGTTGCCCTTAGTCCCAAGCATCTTTGAATTATGCATATTTGTCCATAAGTCCATTTCAAAAGTATGGGTGGGGAGTTCCATCACAAGAGCGTAAAGGCTTGTAGGCAAATTGTTTGAATGTTGATCTGAAAGTGATTCTTTTGGGGATATGGACATCAAAATAAAATTATCTAAAATACAGGCCTCACTCATATCACCAAATCATAGTGGAATACATTGTGATTGATTGCAAATGAGTCTAAACCCTACATTGTTACAAAATAGCCCAGTAATTCTTTAAGTTCTTGTGATAATTTTGAGAATTCCTGGATCAGGAACCCTTTAACATTCCTTATCTTTATTTTTTTTCATCAAAAATAGTTTTTTCAGGAAAATGTGTGTGTCCAAGTAACAGAAAAGGACCTGTAATGAAGTGTATTAGCTACAGGTTGGACCTCTCTGGTCTGGCATCATTGAACAAGTCTCCTCTCTCCCCACTCCAACCTGGCTGGGCTGATTGCCCAACTGCTGGCTCCCTGGGTGGCACAGGCTCTGGCTCCTGCTGTGGGGCTCCGTTCCTCTGCAGCAGCCTATTTGTCTCTCCTTGTCCCAAGTTCTCCCTATTGTCTTATTAGTTTGATTTCCCGCCCCAGATGTATCAAGCATCTGCATTTCCCATTGACTCCAGTAGTCACTGAACCTTTGAAAATCAGACACCATCTGACCAATACGGAGAGAGGTGGAACTTATTTAGAGTGATGTTCACAACTCTGTAAAACTGGTTGTTACTCCATGAGGGGCGTTAACAGGCAATGGGCCAACTGGCAAGTATCACCCTTAACAGGTAGTGCTTACCAAGTAATGTTTAACCAGTTCCCGGCGACCAGCCCTCCCATGAGGCTGCCAGCTACTGGGCTGTGGGGTGGCTGCTGCTGGGGCTGAGGCCCCCTGCATCTCTCTCTTCCCCCCTCCTGCTCAAGATGCCACCTGTTGCATGAGTATGCATGAAATAAGCACCCTCTTTGCTGTAGGACTTCACAGCAAACCTGGGAGCATGACAATAGCATGAAGAGCTCTGGATGCCATAGCAGCTCACTACATACATGGCACAAGGCTAAAACTAAAACTGAACCATAGTAAAGAGACACTTAGTTACTATGCACCTGGCTTAGTGCAACATTGACATTACCTAGATCTTGTTCCCACAGGTAAACTGCCTTCCTAAAATGGTAACAGCCACAGATGGAAGGAACCTAGCACACTATTTGCTTCAGACCTCTCCATGTTATACAACACACAATATCTGATCATTCTTTGGAGCTCTTCTGCTACTATGAAGCTCTGAAACTATCACAAATTTAGGGCAAAGGGGGGAGAAGGAAAGCATAAAGTCACCTTTTTGTTACTATTCTAATAAATCAGTGCTTTAAAGTTATTTGCCTATTTTTGACAGTATTTGGTCAACTAATCAGTTAATTTGTATACATTATATTTGCAAATACCCATAGTGGAAAACAGGGTTGGATTACTCCAAAATTGCCCAATTCTGCACCCTTCCCCTGAAACTCTGGTGCAGACCACTGTAATACTGGAGCATGAGCTGACCCAGTATGCACCTTTCAATCATAAAACATCAGCTATATATTTTGGGTCATTTGCAACGTGTTTTTGAGGTAACTACCTTGCATTTGGGTTGGGGTAAATTCTATTATTGGACTATTATCTATTAACAGTGGAAACTCAGAGCAGCATTTGGACCTTTGGTTAAGAAATACAGAGGTGTGATTTAAGCCAGCTCCTTGCTAGAATGCAATTAATCCCAGTTGTACAAATTGCTCTTCTGACAGATTGCCAGAATAAGCCTTTAACATGAACACTTTCCTTTATTTACTTTTGGCTTTAAAACTTTACCCAAGAAACACTATATAGGACAGTGGTGGTGGTTTGCACTTTGTAAGATGTGTGCTGCACTTAGGATTCATGTTGTCACAATAGTGCCATCTACAGACTGACCTCCCATCAACACTTTTATCTGATTCCTGCTCAATCTTTGATTGTCTCAAGTTTGAGAAAAGCTATGTTCTTGTTGTTAGAACTTAGCCCTGGGACTCAAATTCTGTGTTCTATTCCCAGCTCTGCCAATAACTCACTCTGTTATCTTGGGTTATTCTTGGATTCTGTTATTTCCGTTCCCAACTCATCTGATGAATTGTGCTTTACCCATGAAAGCTCATGATCCTTATATTTGTTGGTCTGTAAGGGTATGTCTACACTAGGGAACAAAGTTGAATTAAGATACGCAACTTCAGCTATGTTAATTGCGTAGCTGAAGTTGAAGTAGCTTAACTTGGCTTTTGACACAGTCTACACAGCAGGAAGTTGAAGAGAGAACACTACTCCTCGGGTAAGCAGGGTTACTAGCATGGATTGCAGTGCCCCTCTCACTTTGAATTAGCTGTCTTAACTAGATTGGTAATTTGAACCCTGGAAGATCAACAGCTTTGATCTTCCTCTTTAGTGTAGACATACTCAAAGGTGTCACAGGACTGCACACTTCTCTATGTCAGTGTCCCTCACTGAAAAATAAGGATAAGAATTACCTACATCACATGATAGTTGAGAGATTTAGTTTAATGATATTTTCATAATTACATATATTTTGACTTGCCAAAGAGCAAATGATTTCTTTAAAATGTTCAATTTACAAAGAAATGGAGACAAATGATCAAACCTTCCAAAAATAAACGAAAACAGTGCCGTATCCATCTTAATTGATAATCCTTTTATGTCACCTGATGGTAACGTGATCAAAATGCTTTAGCTGCAGAGGTCTTTTCTAAATTGAAGATCACTTCCTGAAAAACAACTAAAACTTCTGTTGCATGGTAACAAAACAAATTATATTATTCCCTTGGATGAAGTAAAGGCTATAGAAATAAGGCACAAACATACTCCGACCAATTCTTGAAAATATGGATGAAATTTTTCCAGTGATGCAGCAAATTTTCCAGTTTACCTGATCAGTGCAGAGGGAGGAGCAAACACTTTCCACTACTTGTACTTGGTATACAAGGAAAGGGGCAGTATAAAAGGAACTTTATTTGCACAACGTGAAATTTCAAAATGAAGTAAATCTGAATTTATGCTCTGTGGAGCTACAGTTACAAGTAGCTTTGGAAAGCAAAAATCTTGCAGTTGTTGGCAGAGTATTAATGTTTGGACTTGTAGTGAAACCTAAATGGTGGGGGGAGGTTGCTGTTGGTAGTACTATTTTGTTTATATTTAATTTGTGTATAATATCCCCAATAAAGTAGTTCTGAGTGGGAAGAGGGACTCTGGGAGCCTAGAAAGATCTGCTAACCTCCCAGGGGGCTATATTAGATCTCTGAGTCATGGAGTCCTTGCATAGTAAGTGTTTGGTTACAAGCCTTTTATGGGTCCCAGCTCAACTGGGATATCAGTATCTGCATTATATT